TTATTATAAAATAAGGGATAACAATATTTGTTAATCGTGAAATTAAACACGATCCCCTCTTAATTTCATAAATTTAACGTGCGTTAAATAATATTTAAAATATAATTTACCTGCTAAATTCCGAATAATGATAGTTAATACACGGTTCTCGTCTTTGGCCGTGAATCTTCCCCATAATACAAGCACATTGCCCACACAGGTGACACCAGAAATTATCCATACGGCTGCTCGTAACAAAGTTTTATCGAGCAAGTGAGATAACGACGATACGCCTGTGTAGAATATTGCATCGAATATTATGAATCCATTATTTGTATTTTAATATTTTTTCTTTTTTTTCTTTTTCGAACGAGTTTTTCAAAAGTTTAATAACAAGTTTAATCGGAAACTTTACAATTATTATTGGTTATTATATTAATAACTAGTAGATGTTTTATAAGCGTGATCAAAATCATTAAGTAATGTTATGGTAGCTGTAATTCTGTGAGAAATGTATTTAATGGGCCTAATAGTAGCCCCATAACCCATTAACGTCAGATTATTTTATGCGAGGGTTGCTCGTGATTAAAGCCGCGGGTAGGATAAGTTAATAGGACGTAGTAAATCACAATTATTTATAAGGATGAACCGAAAGAGCACGCTTGTACAGAGTTATTACCGAGTGTTATAAAGTCTAAATTAATTTAACATCTTATAACCGAACAATACGAAAGGAATTTAGCCGTATCATTTTTTTCAAAACTTTTACCATCGCTCGTGGGTCGACATCGTTTTACGTTAGGCGTGTATGTCGCGCAATAATGAAACTTCTTGAAGTATCTGTAAAATATATATTCGTCAAACTTTCATTTACCCACGAAACAAACGTAACACGCTTAGAATCTACTTACACGAAGTCCAACAGCTTGAACACGTTGAACGTGTTTGCATCCAACGAATCCAAATTTATACCCTCCAAGTCCCTAAAAATCGGGGGCGGAAAATCGATTAAGAAACGATTGAAAAAAAATTTCCACACAAATCACGTATCGCAAATACGATAAATGATGTACGCGTGTCGTAAAATATAGAAATTTGAATAGAACTTACAGAGAGCGAAGTCTCGTCAACGGGCTCAAAACGGTTATCGGTAAATTATGCAAATGATTATAACCTAATTGTCTGTAATGAATAACAATTTTCAAAATTATTCCATGTACACCAGCCACGGGGTTTATAATAATCCCCGTTTAAACGGGCTTTAATTCCGCCATAAAATTTGCTAAAACGACACGGCAAAACTCGTATCGGCCTTATTTTCCGCGCGTACGTGCCGGTACAATAAATAAAAGTTTTAACGCCGGCATACGTGACGTTCCTCTCGTTTGCTTTTCTAACGCCGTGTGTACGACGGTAAATATCAGGTAAACATGTTGCAAGCACGCGCGTAGCTTAAGACGTGTAGCGTTACAATTTATGTGGATACCGGTGCCTCGTATACTTACAGGCTCGTCAGATTTTTTAACGGTTGGAATACATTGAGCGGGAGGGTCGTTATTTCGTTGAACGCCAAATTACTGAAAGGGAAAAAAATCCGTTTTGCACACGACACACGGATGATGTACGACGGGCATAACTTGGTTACACTGCCACAAGGAGCGTACGCAAATTGATGTAACGCGAGGAACTTACAGTTCGACCAGCTGCTCCAAATTTTGAAACGTGTCCTCCCCGATCGCCTTTATCTTGTTCCTTTGCATACTTCTGGTTCAGTGGTTCATAAATAACAACGGTTAAGAAAAGGATAGGCTTCAACAATCCTCTTGGAGGGATTTATCTGTGATACTTGTTTGCGCGAAGAATTTAAAGTTGAACGAGTGTTAAGAGCGTTTTTAAAAATTAGTTTGAATAGAATTTTAGAAAAATGGTGTATGATGATGATAATAATTGTGAGGCACGTTGTTTTTAAGGGATTAATTTTTCCATATTCTCTTATTTACTTACGTACGTACAGGGATTTTAACGAGGGACATCCAGCGAATAAAGGAATCGATTCGAAATTATTTTCATCCAAGAATCTGAAATTTAGATTCTTGTGAATCGGTTTTAATTTTTTTAGAGAAAAAGGAAGAAAGGATTGAACTCACATCTCGCTAAGCGCTGGCAATTCCGACAGCCTCAATCCTTTCGAAGTCAATTGATTTTCGTTCAGATTTCTATAATAACGATATTTGATGAGTTCTAAGATTACGAATAATTGATATTATAATTATCTTACATCAGTTTCAAATAAACGCTTCCTTTGAAGTCTGAGAAATCTGCCACAGTGAGTCGATTCTTATTGGCCTTCAAAGATTCCAATTTAATCAAACCGGTAAAATGTCCAGGGAGAAATTCACTAATTTCGTTATTGTCCAAAGCTCTGCTCAAAATGGAAAATTTATTCGTAATTCTATAAAATTTTATTAAAATTACAATTCTATATATACTCACAGCCAGAACAATTTGGTTAAATTGGCGAAAGCTTCTTTCTCTAGCTCGTGTATATTATTGTAATCGAGATACCTAAAAAGTAGCATTAACATTCTTCCATGTTCAAATTGGTTTAATAAAATTCGAAAATTTTACTGTGAAAAGCTTACAGTATACGAATCTCGGAATATCGTGCGAAAGCACCCGCTGAGACACGTTCGATCGAGCTATCGTACAAAGTTCTAAAAGAAATCATCGAAGATAAACAAGCGTAGTCTATTAACGTTGTAAAAATTAAAAAAAATTATACACTTCACGTGGAATTCCCGTTTAAAATTCGTACATGGAAGTAGTTTGAGAAGATAAGTTTCGTGGAATTTCCGAGTATCCTTGACACGTTGCACGGCACATCACGTACTTACAACCGACAGGAACGTCGGTGGCATCTAGCAGAAAGGGGGGAGAAAAAAATACGTAAATTGACAATTCTTATCTCGTCCATTGCGTATCTCTCCTTATATCGTAGCATTTTTATTTCCGTTACACGATATTGTGTTCCGTTGCCCGATAAATTATGGATATTGCTTTACCACAAACGAACTCCTTCACAGCTTTGGAATCTCTGTCACTGCCAAACCAGTCCAATACACCGTGATAATCATCTGCATACAAAGTAAACTTTTTATATTTGCTCCGCTCGTAGGAGGGAGGGGTTTGCATTTATATATAGAAGATGCGCGGCGTATAAAAATGTCATAACATCGTAACTAAATTTTAAATTTAATTTGTTTCTTGACCGAGAAAGAGGTGGCTTTGATACCCTTGAACCCATTGGCCAGTACAAAAGTGTCACGTGCAAATAATAAAATATACAAATCATTATTTCTTTTTTCTTTTCCTTTTCTTTTGCGTGAAAAATGAGAATAAATACAATGAACCGACAGCAATTTTGCTCGTCATCTCCATATGGACATTGGATTTCTTGGTTGCACCAATTTTTCTGGGGTAGGCATATGCTGGTGTTCTGACAAAGGAACGTTCCCATAGGACAAGTATCTGGAATCAGAATAGAAAATTAGAATTGGATATATGCATTTCCAACAATCGTTATAAATGAAAAAGTTAAGTTAATTTCTTCGTTTCTTTTTGCATTAATTTCCATTTCTTATTTCTTAATCGTATTATTATCGCTACGAAAAAAAAAGTAATCTTACATATAACACCTGAAATGTAATTTTAAAATCCCAGGAATATAAATATAAATGAAACATTTTAATAATCATAATAATTTAAATAACACAGAGAGATAATTTCTTAATAATTCTTAAATATCTTTCATCTATATCAAGATATCAAAAATCAAATTATAATTAAGATGAATAATAAAGATACCTTGGCTGAAATAATACATCAACCCCGACAAAAGGCACGTGGTCGCGATCAGGAACGCGCCGATCGTGCCGATATATTTGTACCTCATCTCGAAACTCTCCAACTCCTCCCTTCTTAAACCGTTCTAGCGCCCCTGTGCTCCGTGTCTCCCCTCGCATGAACAACGTTCCCCACGTGCACTCGGTGCAACGACTGCATGACACTGGTTGCACTCGCTGGCTCGGTCGCAAGCTCCGGCCACCACGCACACGCGCTCTTCATCGTTCTCGAAACAGGATTTCTTGCCCGTCTTTTGCGGTTCTATTACCCCGAATTATATGTCGATCGATTAACCTTCGCGATCTACAAACGTCATGCAAACAATCTATTGCAACGAGAAATGTTTAAATCGACGTAATCTTGAATCGACGAGTATCTTCTCAAGTTTATCTTCAAGTTTGTTTTACTTGAACCTTCCCATTATCGGTGGAATAGATAGATTGATGGAAAATCAGGTGGCGAGGTTGTTTCAAGCGGCATTTAAGAAATTAGACAAAATTTGACAGGATTATTATCCAGTTTTTATTTTTGGCCTGATAAATTGAAATAGAATATTGTTATTGAAAATTGAATGGAACAATTTGAAACAATACGAATCGAACGCGCGCCTTGATTAAACGTGAGGAAAGTGATGCAAGAAAATAATCGTTTTTCGATCGTGCAAAATAAAAATTGTTAAATAGCGCAGGAAGTAATAATTGCTCAATTACGCTCGGAAAGTTCACTCACGATCGTCGCGCCAAGCGAAACTCTATAACGTATGCAGATACGTCTCTGACAAAGTTGCAGTCACGATTCGAGGCAATTCGCGCCAATGGCGTGACTCGCCTCGAAACAATACCGATCGAGGAATGTGTAATTACCCATTAATGGAGAACTAGTATCGATCGAACCAACTGTCACGATTCCAACCGACCAGAATTTCTGATTTTCCAATGAAAATTGCGCTCCTCAATTTCCCTCGTGAAAAGTTTTGAACTTTTTACAACGAAAGCGAATGCACGAGGGCAATTTTCATTCAATAAATCGGAATTTTACGATTACATAATCGAACAAATGCATCGAAGATAAATATTTAACGAGACCATGCGAAAGAAATTACGCCCTTTTCCTTCCCCCACAAGCTGCTACTTCTCTTTCGAAGACTGTAGAGCAAAAAGTTATCCTTACGACATATGTTCTCTTCTACTCGAAGATGAAAACCAGATCAAAGTTGACACGAAGAGAAGTTTAATCTGATCGCGGCAAGATTTTTGATACTATTAAATTACAATACGTATTCGTTAATATACGAAATAAAAAAACCTTAACGTCTTCGATTCGATTTCTCGAGACGAGTTGTCGCACGATGAGGAGGCAGATATCGTCGTACGTAGAACTGTTCTACGACAAGAACGTGATTTCATGGAGCAAACGTCTGTTGAGCTTATCCGGCCTGTGGCCAGATAATCGCAACGACGTTCGATTCTTTCTCTACATTACGTACGTCGTGATCTTCACTTGGCTGGAGATCGTGACACTGGTCCAGAATATACACGACCTTGAGAGGACATTGAAAAATATCACGCTATCGTTCCCAACCATCTTGATAGTGCTGAAGGCCGTGATGTTCCGGATGAATATGCATCTCGTCCTACCGTTGCTGACGGTCGTCAAGAGGGACGTGAACGAGGGCCTGTATCGGTCGCCGGAGGAAAGGCGGACGGTCGTCTGGTATAACGTGGCCGCCACTTTATTTTCCACCTCGTCGGCCTTGTCTTTATTCTTCGTGCCCACGTTGTTTTACGCCAAGCCAATCATCGGCTGCCTTTTATCGAGTAAGTTCGATCGCGAGACGGGCCCGATTTCTTCGTCCCGATGTAGTTTTTTGGAAAATAAAGTATATCTATTTATAACTTCATCGATGATGATGTTTCTTCGATCGATACTCCTCGCAGAGAAGAATTCGCGCGTATCTCTTTTAATTAACTAAAAATTAACACGCTCTCCATATATATTTTACTTCGAAAGAGATATATATATATATATTCGTTATCGCGATGACGACGATCCATGAATTATCAAATTTTTATTATCGCAAAGAGAGATTGTTTCGAATTTTATATACCGATTCGATAACATTGCAAAAATTAACAATCAAGAGAATTTCAACATCAAGAACTTAATTTTACACCCGCGTGTCGAGAATGACGTTTCATTAAAAGGCGAAAGAACGTCTCTGGATCCGGTCTTCGTTGCGAAAAGAGTGGTAAAAGTGGCGGTTTTATTAAGCCAGCGGGCATTATCGACGCGTCACGGATAACCGGGTAAGATAAATCAAGATTTTAATGCGAACTTTATCGCTCGGATCCAGGAAACGCACTCGATATCTGTATCCATATTACATCGCGCTTACAGTTACCTAGCGTGTGCAGGTTTATGGTGTTTCGTGGCGAGACGATTACTTCCTTCACGGATATACAAAACGGTCACGTTTTACGAGGCTGTCACACTTCGACGAGGATTTTGCACGACGACCACCGGCACTGTTCGGATTCCCTTTTTCGCAACAGTTCCTAACGCTCGGGCAAACGCGAATTTATGTACTCGATGGGCTTCCACGTTCTTCCCTCTCTTCGTTTTCGATAAGTGGCGGATAAGTAGCGGAGAGTGGATAGCTGGATTTTTAGCTTTCCCGATTTTTCCTTTTTCTTTTCGAGATGGAGTGGAGTAAAAACTTTCACGTGTTATTATATCGCGTTCTTCGTCGTAACGTAGAAATCTTTGGAGTTTTTTTTAATCCTTTCATCTCGCGCGAAATATAAACGTGGCTTTAATTATTTTATTTTTAATCGTGTGAAATGAATTTATCCGCGTTTGAAAAAAAAATTATTTTTAACGTATTATTATTTATATTATAACGCATCTTATCAATTCACAGAGTACAATAATTGTACCCTTCCTTTCGAATTACCCATGAAAGTGAATAACGTTTACGAAATAACGAAACTACAAACGTACGCCTTGTTCTGCGTCTATTTGATACCGACGAGTACATTGTTAACGATCGGTGCAACCGGGGCAGATAGCCTTCTGGTGACACTAACGTTCCATCTTTGTAGTCAACTTTCAATCGTAGCATATCGCATGAGAAACGTCGATATCGAACCGAAGATATATTTTCCGAAAATGAAGGCACTCGTTGAACGGCACACCGAACTTTTACGGTGAGTCGTTCGTTTAAAATGAATCTAAATTTCGATATAAAAATATTAGGATTATCATCAGAAGTGATACTCAACTTGTCAATTTAATTGTAGATTGGCAAATATTTTAGCGAAGACATTTAGTTCTCTGATGTTTGTACAAACGTTAGGATTAATATTCTCACTATGCATCGTGGTCTATCAATTACTTATGGTAATGTTATAATTATTTAGATATTTATAATAATTTTTGCACTTGATTAAAAAGCACTTGATCCGTTTTTTTTTCTTTTTTTTTTAAATTCAACGAAGATCATGCAATTATAATATTTTCTAGACAAGCGAATCAGGAGAAGATATGAATACGATACATTTTATAATCTACTCTTGCGCTGTTATACTGTTAGCATTCTGCTATTGTTTCTTGGGAGAGTGTCTCATTAACGAGGTAATTATCAAAAATCTTACATTAGAGAGAAATATGTGTTTATTTATTTCAATTTTTTTCTTCAACTTACAATTTTCGAAATATAATGATTTAATTTAATTGATTAATGGAATTCAACAAATTCTAAACTAGTTTTAAATTAATTAGATATTTTATTGAATTGTTTATTGTATTAATTACTCTTTGGATAAGTTATAATTTTCTAGGAACATTTTAATCGAAATATCTTTAAAATGTGTTATGAATATTTATTACAATTTACATCTAGATAGTTTTAATAAAACTATAAATCGCTATTATTTTCAGAGTAGCGAAGTGCAAATGGCTTGTTACTTTACTAATTGGTACGATTTACCAGAGCAGTACACGCGATCTTTAATATTTTGTATCGCTCGAGCGCAGAAACCGTTATACCTAACAGCTGGCAAGTTTTACGTGTTTTCTTTAGAAACTTTTGGCGTTGTAAGCTATCTCTCAATTATAAAACCATCCAACGATCATTGTCTAAATTCTTCTCTTACATTTGCTTGATTTATTTGTAGATAGTAAAAGCATCGATGGCCTACCTCTCCGTTCTAAAAAGTATTATTTGAACAATTAACACCGAACATTAGTTTAATTTATCAAAAAAATAATAATAAAAATAAAAACAAAAAAAGGACTTGTTCCAATTAACTACGAATACACGAGTAACGATTAAAATAACTTTAAGACAATCAAATCTTAAAAACTTATTAAATATTAAATCTAATAATTACTTATCGTTTTAACGATAAAAAATTAAAAATTTTGCCCTCCCTTTTAATCCTCGCGTCTCTCTACACTTTTTTTACACTCGTAAAATTTTTTCTTCTTTTTTCCCCCCCTTTCGTACACATGCCATGACCGCTTTATTTCACGCCACGATAAATGATGCACGATTGACGATGATTAACCGAGGGATAAGGTGTCGGGCCAGGAAAAGAAGAAACGTCAACGTCGACAAGGTGGAGTGGCTACAGAATCCGAAATGTCGAAATCAATATTCTTCCCGTTGGAAGGCCCACTTCCACGAACTTCCTCGTGGCGGGCAACATCGCGCCGATATATCAGCTTCTCGGAATGTGTCATTCCACCTAATCGTCGCCGAGCAGCGGCTCGTGTTTGGCTGAAGGAATTAAAAGAAAAATTTATTTCGGTTTATTCAAGAAAGATACAGAATGTACAACTGCCGAGGGAGGATACAAATTATGCATATAACTCGTGCTTCACGGTAAATAATCGTCCCTATTGCCAGGTCGAAGCACATGGACCCTGCCGTCGTGCGTTATCTCTTTACAACGACCTCGATCCTACGAATGGAGTAACAGCTAACGTGCATACGGCCTTCACGATACACCGATCCCCTTTTCTCGCTACACCGCACTACACCGTCTCCACGGTTGCAGCGCGTGTGTACACTTTCAGTGGCAGGAACTTTCAATAACAGTGGTGCATCCTCCCGTGTTCACCTCTCCAAAAGCCGAGTCGAGAGAGAGAGAGAGAGAGGAGGAGAGAAGAAGAGAGAGAGAGAGAAGAAGAGAGAGAGAGAGAGAGAGAGAGAGAGACGAGGAG